AACATGTCATTGTGCCTGATTGGCATTTCAGGCACAATGACATGTCATACTGAAACAATGAAATGCCAATCAGGCACAATGACATGTTATACAGAAACAATGAAATGTCATATTGAAATATCATATTAAAACAATGAAATGCCAATCAGACACAATGACATGTCGTACTGAAACAATGAAATACCAATCAAACACAATGGGATGTTTCACTATATGTCATTCTGTCTGATTTGGTATTTCATTGTTTCAATATGATATTTCATTGTTTCATATTGAAACAATGAAATGCCAAACAGACACAATGAAATATCATATTGAACATTTCATTGTTTCGGTATGACCTTCTCTATAATTTTTGGCCCGGCATGGCCAGATGTTTAGGGCGCTCGACTCGTAATCTGCGGGTCGCTGGTTCGAAGCCCCTTCACATCAAACATGCTCGCCCTTTCAGCCGTGGGGACGTTATAATGTGACGGCCAATCCCACTATTCGTTGGTAAAATAGTAGCCCAAGAGTTGGCGGAAAGTGGTGATGACTAGCTGCCTTCCCTCTAGTCTTACACTGCTAAATTAGGGACGGCTAGCGCAGATAGACCTCGTGTAGCTTTGTGCGAAATTCAACACAAACAAACAATGAGGTCTCATTGTATAATTCTAAGGTAAAGTTACTGTTCTCATTCACAACAGAAAGTTTCGTCAGTGTCTGATACAACGCTTATATTAAATGTGAACGTTTTACAATTAGGCCGTTTTGTAAATTTAGTATAACGATACTTTACTTATTCTTAGATTTTGATTATTCTACACATTGCAACAATTATTTTATCTATTGATAATGACCACTCTAATATTTTTCAGTAACAAGAAAGATCTGAACAAAGATGATAACTGCATTCTTCCACAATCAGCATGAAATAGGTTGTTAAAATGAAATCAGTGGTATTAATACAACATAATAAGCCCTAGATTACTGACCAATCTTTTTTTTTTATAAAGTTATCTAAGATCTACATAGTAACGTAGGCTACAACGTTAATTGTTTTTATCTTTTTGTTTTTAACGTTAAGGGTAATACGGATTTCATTATGTTCTGTAATCCTAACTAAAACGTACAAGGATTCCCAGATAAGCTAAGGGATTATAACGATAATCTTCATAAAACGGTTAATAGGTAAACTAAGGAATTATAATGATAAACCCCATAAAACGGTTAATAGATAAACTAAGAAATTATAATGATAATCCCCATAAAACGGTTAATAGATAAACTAAGAAATTATAATGATAATCCCCATAAAACGGTTAATAGATAAATTAAGGGATTATAATGATAATCTTCATAAAACGGTTAATATATAAACTAAGGGATTATAATGATAATCTTTATAAAACGGTTGATAGATAAACTAAGGGATTATAATGATAATCCCCATAAAACGGTTAAAGATAAACTAAGGGATTATAATGATAATCTTCATAAAACGGTTAATAGATAAACTAAAAGATTATAACGACAATCTTTATAAAACGGTTGATAGATAAACTAAGGGATTATAACGATAATCTTCATAAAACGGTTGATAGATAAACTAAGGGATTATAACGATAATCTTTATAAAGCGGTTGATAGATAAACTAAGGGATTATAACGATAATCTTCATAAAACGGTTAATAGATAAACTAATGATAATCTTCATAGAGGGTTAATGTCATAAATGTGGTCGAACTCGCATAAGAATGAAGATCAAATAGTATGTAAACATCAACCGTATGAACGTTTATAAATGATGTTGTTTTAATAAGACTGAGGGGTAAACTGGAAAAGAAAATATTCTTTAGAACCACAATTAAATTTATACACCCTCTAATGTTTTAGTAAACAAACACGTGTCTCGTGAGTTGAATAAGTACACTAATAATAGATAGACAATATCTTTTCGTTACTACCATGTCTCCAGATTTGTACGTATACTTTAAGATTGGTGCTCTTCTACTAATTCGATGGAAGAGAAATAACTGTTTGAGGTTTTATAACAATCAGTTCATAACGATCGTAAATTATCCTTTCTAACAGACAGTTATATTACAATATTTATTGAAAGAATGGTAACAATTTTATGGATTTTTCAGTTTATGATCCCCAGATTGCGAGTCGAGCACCCTAACCACCTGGCCATACCGGGCCAAGGTCAGTCTGAATGTTTAGTTTTTGTAGAAGATCTGATATACTTACAACTACAGTGTCATAGTTTAAAAAAAAATCCAAACTTACATTGTTTGCATTTTTATTTTTCTGACGAACTGATTGTGCAAAATTACATCTATAAGATTTAAACACAAGACAATCATTCAAATAATTATACAAAAGACAATCAATAGTTGAGCAATGCCTAATAGTAATACATATATTTCTTCTTCCTCAGACAACATCATAGTAAGAATAAGTAAACAAGTTATTAATATACAAATTGAAAAACCGATTTAAATCAAATTTTTATTAATGAGAGAGTAACGATACTGAAAAAAAAAGGTAACATTATTAACATCAAATATACAAACTCTACTAAACTTTTCGTTTTTTGTATTAACTTTGGAAAAGATAATTGTTGTTGTTGTTTTAATGCAAAACTAAACAATGAGTTATCCTTACTCTGTCCACCGCGAGGAATCTAATCCCGGATTTTAGCGTCCGTAAAGTTACCGATGACCGGAGGACTAGAAAAGACAACACAATTGCACAGCTAGCTACGAACAGTAACTCCTTTTGATTGGCCAATAATACATAAAACAATGGCTATTTTTTTTTTAAATAAATTCAGTAACGCTGTTACCTTACAATAATAGGAGAAAAAAATACATAATTATGTACTCCTCAATATCTTTAATTAACAAAAACAAAACGTAACATCTTCAAAAGGGAAACAGTTTCTTCTGCTTTATTTTTATTTTCTAATGAGTAACATATACAAAATAAATCGACCTTACTACGTTTGTGAATGGAACTTAAAACACACACACACAAAATCGTACGTACCACCTGTAAGCTCTGTATCGGGAAATACTGAACACCAAAATATAGACTAATCTTATGATTTAAAATTCCCTTTTCAATTCTACTTATTCTCCTCAAAACAGCCTTCATTGAAGTACTGTTTATTATACAAATGCCCATAAATAGTTGTAAACAGCTGAGCACGCGGAAATCTGAAAATTACAACCGTACATCTTAAATTTAAATTCTTTAGAATTCTCTACAGTCTTAAAAAAAATACATTTTTAATATTTAATTATATTTTGAAGTTTCAACAGTAACCACAACCTTCAGCACAAGCAAATGTGCAAATATATATGTAGTGGTTTGAAAGATTAGAATGTATCATTCCTCAAAACCAGTGAGCGAGAGCTCAAACAATACTGAGAAATGATAATTAATTTCGGAAGTATAGATAAAGATTGTGAAACACAAAAAAATATTAAAAATGATCACGAAGCGAAAAGTCAGACATTTTTAAATTACAGGTGGCTTAATAAAAGTATCATATGTATTGTGGCTTTACTATAATAATTAATTTTAGTAGGTTTTGTTTTCTGATCTTCTTTAATAAATAATCTTATATGTATAGAACTGCTTTTTTACAGAATTACGTCCGATGACAATGTTTTGATAATTATGTTTTACAGATAACTTTGAGTGTTAATATCCAGGGGCGGCGGGCTTCCTGAGGCTGAAGCCATCCTAATATGTGCCTTAGCCTTTCCTGTGGCCCTTGCGTCCAATGAAAAGTTCAAAAGTTTTTTTTTTATTTCCTAAACACTACAGTATGTTTGTCCACAAGATGTAGAGCCCCCTCAATTTCTTGTTTATCCTACCACATCCCCCTTTACGGGAAGAGACTGGCGTCACCCCTATTAATACTTAACATAATTCTTCCATGTATCTCATTTTGATGCAATGTTTTAGATAAACCGAAATTACTCCAGTACTCAGAACTATATACAGACACGAGTGAATATCCGATAAAGCATAGAATTCTGGACTGTATAGACATTTTCCATTAAGGTATTCACTCGGAAAGCATATAATTCTGGACTGTACATAGACTCGAGTGAATACCTTAATGGAAAAGAAAGCATAGAATTCTGGACTTTACGCAGACAAGAGAATACCTTAATGCAAAGGAAAGAACAGAGTTCTGGACTATATACAGACACGAGTAGATAAGAAAATGACCGCTTGGGATAAACTTTACTACCTTAGTCTCTAATAGACATCTCATTGACAAGAGAGAAAAAAAAATTATATAATATCCACTTATAAAAAATTATTGCACAAATAATATTAATAACGCCGTTCAATCTAGCCAAACTACCTAAGGCACATATGTTTATCTACACACATAACGTTAACCATACTTCGCACGTGACAAGTATTTCTCCTCACCCTCAGGGCGCCACTAACGCTTATTTTTATATCAATAAAATCGCTAAACATTGAGTTTGGTTTTAACTGAAATGGGTTAAGTGGTGTAGAAAAACAGAACCAGATTAAAAAATAATAAACAACATTTGTCTTTGGCAGCAATGTCTGCAGATCATCTTGAATAGCTTTAAATGAGCCTTATATTCAAGCATAGGTTGACCACATTTCCTCAGAGATACCCATTCCTCTGTAATTGGACTTGACTCCAGATGGAGAAGGATACTGATAAGAGGACACCATGGGTTCTTGTTCGTTGCTATAGTAACCGTACATGGAAGTGTTTATTGGAGCCAGTGGTGGAATGCCGCCATAACCATTGTGCGATGTATTAAAAGGATTGTTCTCTGCAAAGCTGGAATGAGTGTTCATATTCTGGAGTTCAACAGCGTTACCCATGAGGATGGAAGTGGAGGTTCGGTTAGTTGGTTTCACAACGGGAGTGAGTTCTTGGAATTTGACAGAATCCTCTTGACCCCCACTACTGCTGTTACTGCTGCTGTCCGAATACAGAAATCCCCCTTGTGTGCTGGCGGAATGGCGGTTTCTGATGGTGTTACAACCTGGAAGCGATGTCGCAACCCTTTCTTTGGTGCATGCACCAGGAGTAGTTGTAGATGTTGAATCGACTGCTTGTTGACTTAAACTGTTTGAGGGGATGTTAGGCTGAGCTCTAAAGTTTCCAGCTTCCATTACAGAAGATGCTAATATGGATGGCAAAAACTTAGGAACCCAAGTAGAGCTGTAGGTATTGCTAGAACCACCTACTGTAGAAGAGTTAAGATTAGATAGGTTGCTCTTCAATGATGGAAGTAAGCCATTCTGAAGAGGAAGATATTGATCGAGTTCGGACTCATCAAAATTACCAATGGCCTCAGTCGAAAGCTGACCTACGTCCACGTGGCTGAAATCGATTGGCTGTCCTTCTTGTTGACCTGAAAAACACCCATTAATCTCAAACCTTTACAAGTGAATCTGTTAATATTTCTTTCTATTTTATAAACATATAATTGGGTTGATTAAACGCAGAGTTTTATTTCAGTCTCTTTTTCTCTTACTTCATGTTAATAAAAAGTATCTATCAGGTATAAAACAGGCGTCAATTTTATTCATAATTTACACTTGATTCTACAAACTACATGACCAATATATAATATAGTTTATTTCCGTAATATAAGGTCACGAACTACAACATCGCCAAGCTGTTTAAATCCATTTTACCGTCATGGAAGCAATCGGAAAAATATGAGTCAATCAGACTATGGTACTTGGAATTGTCTGTTACCATTTTATTGATATTTAAACACTTGATAAAGAATTAAAAATTGTTACACAAGGAATAACTAAACGATGCTTTGCTATTATAAAATTAATTTTAAAACATTGAAAAATACCTTGTTTTGGAAGACCGACGGTTCGTCGATTTCCAGATATCCCTCTTCCTCCCATAGCAGTTTGTCCTTGATTTGGTGTAGTGGGGGGAGTGGGTGGTCCCTGAGTGGAGGAAGGAGAAGGAGTTTGCTGGGGACTAGAAGCTGTAGGACTTCGACTACTGGTGGGGCTCTCCTTTTCTGGTTTCATTGACCTATTAATAATGTTTTGTGAATGAAATAACGTAACATATGATGAAGGAGAAAAGTCTCCTGTAATAAGGACAAACAACAAGAACCAAAAAAAAAAATAACACCGAAACTGCTAGGTGAAAAGCTAGAAAAGACTGTATACACTCTTTAAAATACGCTCCAGGTGAATGTTTATCGATAATCCATGCCAGTATACTAAACTTACTGAATTACACCATTCTTAAAAAACGTAGTTATGTAATGGAAATATTGAGTTAGATTTAGGACGAAATCTTCACACAAGCATTACTCCTGGATACGATTTTACGCACTGAAATGAATGTACAGTTTCTTTGTCGAACAGTGATAATTGTGGAAAAAAAAGTCTGTAAATATAACATAATTATACGGTAATAGTTTACTACAGAATCTCCTTATCACTTTCATAGATATTTCGGTTCGCAGAAATGGAAATAATGAAAATATTAACGCAATTTGATTTAAATATTATTACATTTTCGATCATTTCGCAGGTTTCATCTTATCGTTATTAACCCCGGTCGCCTGGCAACTATAACAAATAAAATCAGTAATTCTTGCTGTGGACATAATAAGAATTCGATACCGCACTGGTAAGAAACTTATCTTACACCAGGTCAGTATCATTAGGAAGATTTGTTTGTTTTGAATTTCGCGCTAAGCTACACGAGATCTATCTACGCTAGCCGTCCCTAATTTAGCAGTGATAGACTAGAGGGAAGGCAGCTAGTCAACACCGCCCACCGCCAACTATTTTTCCAACGAACAGTGGGGTTCCTTACCCGCAAATTGCAAGTCGAGCGCCCCCTAACCAAAAAAAATTTAAGTAATCAGAGGAGTAATAAAAAGGGGTTATCGTTACTTTCACTTTTAATTATGTAAATGAGATTTTGTTTGTTTTTGTGGATATTGAAAACAAACAGGAAATTTGAAAAAAGAACTAAAACGTCTTTTTTTTTTACTTATTTTCTGTGCAATTTTTACAATAGCAACAACTATATTATATCAGAATCACATAGTTTGCTTAACAAATAGCATCTACAGATCAGCTTGCTTCGTTTTCCGACAATTAAATCTTGAAGATTGACTTGAGGGAATAAATAGCAATAAAAATTAACGGAAGCATAAAAATAGGAAAAGAAGCACAATTAATTGTTTAATCGCGAAGGTCGCTTTCTATTCCATAACCCGAGGAGCCTTGAGTGGTGCCAAGACCTGTTTATGTAAGAGAAAAATCTACATAATAATTAATGCCATATTAATATTTTTATAATATATAATGTAATTTTTTTTTATATACATCCTACATTTTTGTATTTGTAATACCCCTGTCGCACGACACGCGAACTACATACAACTTGGCAACAGTACACTACACACTTGTGAGATCCAACGAAGTGTGAATGACATGTTCAATGTGTCCTCCTCACTTGAATATCGCGTGACGTATCATTGCGCACAACACTGTGAATTGTTTCCAAGGAAATTCCATACAGCACTTGAGTTACTTTAAGCTCCTGTATAGGTTACTTTCTAACAATCCCAAGAAAAAAAATGACTAAGGTTCAAACCAGGTGGCACTGGAGGCTAAGATTACCCACAACTATAGACCTCAGGGAACCTGTCCGACAGGACGTTACATATTTTTTTTTTTTTCTTTTGCAAAACAACAATATAAAAACAAACACGAAGAGTGTTTTCTACTGTGCTGCC